GAATGCAATTAAATTCCCGTTGAATGAAGAAATTCAAGGATACGTCGGTATCAAAAGGTTGGTTTATAATCACAGTACTGATAACTGTTACGAACATTGCCTCGATAGACGTCTTTCTATCTAGGGTAAGTCGTTTCTGCTGTTACCAATTCTAAAGCAAGACTCGGGTGGAGCATTATTACTATTTTACCCAAGGGAGTGAAAGGTAAAAGGTTGTTTTATGTTTGTTTTATGCCTAATAATGTAAGCAAATGTATACTGGTCTCAACTATATTTATGTTTTATAGATTCACTCACCCATCATGAAGTTTTGCACAGGTCTTACCCATCTCATTACCTCACATTACACAGGAGCAAGGATAGCAAGAGGATTATGGGTTGCTATAGAGCGTCACAGGTTCTTACAAACAGAACCAAAGATGGTATGGTGATCGTTTCCAACAGCTACGGGCAGTTTGTTGGTGACCGTGCGGTTGTTTTCATAGTTATAACTCTGTTGGTCTTTGTTCTCTTTTTGGAACGGGATCCTGAAGACGGAGACGGAGAAGGATTTGGAGCGCCAGTACACACCCATTAATAGACAGGCTGCTCAGGACAGAGACAAGATGAAGGCCAGCTTCCCAGACTGGACAGGAACAAACAACAACAACACATACAGTCTAAACACCGAGGACAGGTACGGTGCGATCATCGCCATCTCAGAAATCGAAAACATCTTCCAATACCAGCATTGGTGAGATGAGGAACTTGGTAGGTACGATTAAACAGTTTTACAGTGGAATTTCAAGGCAAGACTCTCCACCATACAGATGTACAGCACGGGCATCAAACTTTGTGTCATTAGCGGTGGACTCCTCTTGGCTAAGATGACTTCCTGTCCCTCACTTGCGCAAGGGAGGTCACCCACCCGCTATAGAATGACGTCGAGATCTCCTTCTTTGTGGCAGGTGTGAATGTCTCCCTGTGAGGTGCCTGAGGCAGCGGCCAGTGATGAAACCTACATTCCATCTTGAGGCAGTACTAATGATAATGATGAAAGAATATGCGCTCCTTGTGTGGAAGACACCTTTCATATCGAACATGTCATCGTTGTCTCTGACATACTTCCGATTAGTGTGTCCCTTGCCACATCACAGTCACTTGAGATGAACTGAATGAGAATACCAACGGAGATGTCTTTTTGGTTTTTACTGTCCTTCACATTGCTTATAAAGCGTATGCCAGTTTCGTCTCAGGTGGAGACTGTGTGCCCTCAAGAAGTCACGTGGCTAGGGCTGGGGCCTTCATGGCTGCCTGGTCAGGGGAATACTCTGATCGATTGGCCTTATGTGTCTCTCATGGTACAAATGTGTCAGCATTGTTGGGATAATGCCATTTCTTGTTCTGTGAGAGTATGACATTGTCTCTTGAAATAACATAATACGATTATCAAAAAGTAGTTGCTAAAGCACGATTATCCAGTTTGTTTACGTATAGTGTCCAGATTCAATGAAATTATAAATCTGCTTTCAGCTGCTGGTGTAGATGACATAGTTTCCGATGATGGAATCAGCTTTGGGCTTTCGACACCAACCAGCATGCCGATGACTGGGATATTCCAAAACGGCTGGGTCACACTTTCCGATTGGCAGGTGTAGGGATAACTATCACGTCTCTCACTGATCTTGTCGCCTTCCTTGGTTGGATATTCATCAGTGTTTCTGAGTGTAAAGAACTTTTGTCTCTATAGCTGCGGCAGGGATCATAACTACAAAGTTAACAGTAATGTAAAAATATATTCTTGTGCACTTGTGTCATTAGTGCTGATACATCTGATGATAAATGGTCCTAATTTTCCTTATCCCTGTATAGCGCATTCAACATTTGTTTATATATCAATATCCCATCCCCCTGGTATTGGCGAAACGAATATATATTTATTATTCCCAAGTTTCCATATTTTCCACAGGTACGACCATCATATTTTCACATACTGCTCTCAGTGGACGTTCTTGGCTGATGTTTTGTAAAACATGGACGCCGTGTTGAGAACTCTCGCCATTGTTTGACATGTCAACCAGTTCTTACAGAAGAAGCACTAAAACAGAAATGCGGCTTGTTCTGTTGCTGTTGTTCAGGAAAACCGTCAAGAGAAAGACAAGACTCCTTTGGTTTGGAAAGATTGCCACCACTTTCATTTTGAATAAATGCCTTATAACCACGTGAGTGGAAAAGTAGTAACAATACTCGATATTCTTAACATATATCGGTGTTAGTTTGTGGGAGTGACCAAACTAGAACAAGGACTCTTCTAGAAAACCCTCAAAACGCCAACGTCCTACTACTCTAATTACAGCCTAAAACAATTGGAATAAGTTTTTGCGGGAACACGAATTCGCAAAGCCACGAGCCTTAAAAAAGGAAACCACTTTATTTTGATGAAAAATGTGGAGACAAAAAACTCTTTCAAAATGCTGTTCTTTGTGAAGACGGGTAGGGATGAACACATGAACAATGCAACACAGATTTTAGGACTCTTGATCATGTGAACCTCAGTATCTCAATAGGGCACTTTGGTTCTGATTTTGTAGCCAATTTCAAGTCATTCCTCACTGTCAATCTGTATGCTAAGAACGACGTAGTGTTTAGTGAACTGACAACAATATCAATGGCTTTTAAGGTGTCACATGATTTCAATGAATGTCCCCTGACCTCGATGGATCAAGCCAATCTTATGTCTGTATGCGAAATCTGGCAGCTGAATCTCCACTACCAGTATTCCCTTACCACTCAACATTCATTTTCTTTGAACAGTTTGTCCTAGTAAGCTGCCTCACTTGTTTTACAGACGTTGGGCATTGCAGTCGCCGGTCATGGTTTTACTCACTATGCTTTTCCTTTAATTGTCGGTTTAGTATGCATCAACATAATGTTGATTTTACTAGGAATCTTTGGTTTCATGCCTCTGTGGGACTTGGAGTCGGCTTCTCTGTAGATTTCTACAGTCCATGTCGACAGCGTACATGTTGGCTGAGGGAGAAACAAGAGATGAAAGAGTTAGACAGGCTATCATACATGCGGCGGGGCCCATCTTTAATGGAGGATTGTCAACATTTATTGGCATACTAACATTGATTAGATCGCAATCGTATGTGTTTCAATCCTTTTAAAATTATGATATTTGTTATAATCTTTGTTATGGGGAATGCTGTTTTACTTTATGCCAGTTATGTTATCACTGTTTGGGCCTATGCCTAAAGGGGCAATTTAAGCCATCGTGATGTAAGTGAACAAAAGGACAGGAATATATGTACCACTGAAGATAAAACAGTACCTGGAAGTGCTTCTGTGAGCACAATTTCATTATCTGAAGTAAACTAGCTTCAACAACACCTTTCGTGTTTTAAAACGTAGGATAATGTTTCAACAAACATGACACCGATTGTGAACATTATCATAGACTATTGAATAGATCATGATGCAAATGGATTATGTCGCTAAAATGAAATGAATACAAACAATTCCATTTTTATATGTAATAGTTTATGTTGTGTTTGCCTGTACATATTGCTTATAGTAATCCATTTGAACAACATTTATGTTTGGAAGAAGATTCTGTTTTTGCAATTGTGATTTTCAAAAAAACCCTGCAAAACAACAAAACCAAAAAACTTTCCATTTTCTCAAAACTAACTATGCCAAAGGTTGATTGCAAGATATGGTTATATAATAAGGATGTGTTTATGAATCAATATGAAATATTGATGAAATCAAGTTCTTGGACTTTTAACAATGTATTTAAAGATTTATGTAAATTAAAAGGAATAAATATATTAGAATAATGTTTTGTCGTCAGGATGCGTCGAAACGTCTTTTTCATCAACCTTTACTTGAAGTAGTCGCTGTTGTTTTTCAATTATGATTTTGAAAAATAAAATGAAACCATGTTTCTCCTTAGTCAGCAATTTCAGGGTTTATCCATTTAGTGTTCATTTATTTTTACCCTGACGTTATTGAACATAACCATGCGGGTGGTAGGTTTCTCGAAAACAAGATCTCCGGGCATGTATGTATAAGCACAGTTAGCCAGCACTTCCAAACAAATAAGCTGAAACCAGACAGACATATAGACAGTTTATTTGCATGAAGGCCATCCCTAGTTTTACAGAAAAAGGTTTACAAGTAAGATGATAAAGAAAGTTATTTCATAACGGATAACAAACAATTAATGTTACTGTTAAGATATAATTCAGGAACCTGGCATTATTTAACAGGACATGTTGACATATTCTTTGTAAAATGTAGTAATCATCATTTGCAGTTCTGGGAATTAAATATTTCCATTCACGATCGTAGATCACACAGCGGTAAATAACATGTATTTCGTCTTCAGTTTCATTACAATGCTTACTCAAAACAGTTTGATCATTACAGCTTCATAAGCCTCTGCGGACCAACTGGACACTGAGGGTGTTATGACCAATTCTTAATTTAGCAGTCGTTTATGCTCACAAATATTACTATTTAACAGATACTGTTCAGAAATTAAATTGAATCTACGAGACAAAGTGAATTCATGTGATGTGATGTGATCTCGCGAAGTGCACAGTCAAAGACCCTTTGACTGAACATATAAACGAATAGATTAGTATCACCTACATCTTGTGCAAACCAGACGTAGCCAAAACCATAAAAAAATGTTATACATAAGTTGCCCAATTAGGGCGTTTTCTGTCGGCCGTCAACAGTAACATTATAACATTGAAATGGAAATGGTTTCATGTACATTTGAAGCCATTACTTCATACATGAAATATGTTATGCCATGACACTCTACTACATTCTCCAAAGGCCGCCACAGGCTGTCCTATACCCCTGTATATAACAAATATTTCCAAAAGTTTCTGGTGAACAATGTCAAACTTACTTTTAATTCATTACTTCTTATTAAAGCAGGAACTTGCTATATTGAACAATGGCTGATGGAATAGCCATTGTTGGCATTGGGTGCCGGTTTCCCTGGCGCCACCTGCCTGGAGGAATTTTGGGATATCCTTGCAAAGGGAGAGAACCATGTGGTTGACATCCCCCCTGAGAGATGGAACATGGATGCCTTCTATGACTCTGATGTCAATGCTGCAGGGAAGAGCTATGCTACGAAAGCAGGGCTATTAAAGAAGTGAGTACAAAAGAATTATATGTCAGTCATCCCCAAAACGCTTGCATAAAATAATTTAGAGAGACGTTTATTAATTCAATACAAAGTGATGCCCAGGTGAAGTTTTGTATGAGTTTGTACTAACATAAACATTGTGCCCTGTACGAATATACAAATAATATAGAACTGATATATAATCCTTCAGCTTTGATCACTTCGACAACAAACTTTTTAAAATCAACGAAACCGAGGCTGCCCAGATGGACCCCCAGCAGCGCCAGGTGTTGGAGTGCACGTACATGGCTCTGGAGGACGCCGGCATCACCAGACAACAAATAGCAGGACAGAAAGTGGGAGTCTACATAGGTTTGTTCGTAGCAAAGAGTTCGGAATTTAGATTTTGGTCGTGTGTTGTTTAGTACTCATATTCAATATATATTCTTTACAAAAAGTTAAGCAACTCAAAGTTTTAGTCTCATTACATTTTCATTTATTGACTGTCGAATTAGGGGACGATAAGCCTGTGAGTGAAGGCATGAATTTGATTCACCAAACCAATAAACACCACTCAACAACAATGTCAAGTATTCAGATTATAATGACGTTGTCATTCATTAAGTTTTATAAGTCATTCGAAACAGTCATCTTTGTCATAGTGATATGCTTAAATGTTCTTGGTATTGCATAAGTATATATCTAAAAAAGACACACACGGGCCAGAAATAAGATACGTTAAATGTATTTAAGTGTACATAGGTCGCTTAAGCTTGAACATAGATCAAGGAAATTCGGCACAGGGGGCGTTCAGGTCAGTACCTAGCAGCCGTCACTGTTCGACACCACTTTGGAAGGGATTACACAATTCGTCGGATTTTGCTTGGGGAATTCTTCTGAGTATCTGAGGACGATGGTGACGTTTACAGACGCGTCGATCAAGTTCGTCCTATAGATGCTCGGTCGGGTTCAAATCCGGCGATTTGGAAGGCTAGGGAAGATTAGTGACGTTTGCATTGGCCAGATACGCACCTGTTACACGAGCTGTGTGGGGTCGAGCATTGTCGTGTTAAAACAGCTCCCTCTGGCGGTCAAAAAGTGGGAGGAGGTGAAGTCGCAAGATTTGGTCGATGTTACGATTTGCTGAATGCCATGAACCACCACAGCTCTGATCCACCCGTGTAGTGCATGGCACCCCACACCATAATGCTATCTCCACCAAATCTGTTCACCTGTCGAATGCAGTCCACCGCCAAACGTTCGCGTCGGTGTCGATAGACACGTTGTCTCGTCGCAGGAAGAAACGCGATTCATCGCTGAACTCAAGGCGTCACCACTTCCCCAGATTCCATGACTGTACCATGTTGCACCATAGGACACGTTGTAAGTGTAGTCGTGTCAGGACAGGTCCATCTTTTTGTCGATATGCCCGAATTCCCACTTCTCTCAGACGATTTCTGATGGTTTGGTCGCAAATTCTTCAAAGACCAGGCACCTGTCTTGCAGTGGCCGTAGCAAATCGGTGACGTAGGTGAAACACCCGGATGAATGTTTTCATATTTAAAGACAAACGTTTACAAACCATTTTGGGATGCGTTTGCGCGCAATGCACAACAACCACGGCATGATTAACGAGATTCAAACATAGGAATTGTGTTAATGACGATTGCTGTAAACAAACAATATTTTAAGGGTGTATAATCATATGTAAAACCTGTATATTCTAAACAGTAAAAATAAATTATTAAAGGTTCCATGACGGTGGATTATGGGGATTTGATCTCTACCAAATCACAAGACGTCACCAACCACACTGTGACAGGCCAGGCCAGGGCTATAATATCGAACAGGGTGTCCTACGTGTTCAACCTAACAGGACCTTCCATGACCATAGACACAGCGTGTTCCTCATCCATCGTGGCATTACACCAGGCAGGACTTGCACTCAGGGCAGGTGGGTGAAGATTCACATGACGAGCATTCAGAGTAGATGGGAATACCAGATAATTAAAGCTAATCAGAGGAGGTGGGTAAAGCATAACACGGGTACTCAATGCAGCTTGGTACAAAATATCATGACTTGAATTCAGAGTAGTACTGTAGTCAGCTCCTGCCATGAAACAGAATATTATGTGGCATTGCACGAACCAACAAAGGCAGTCGAACTATTTCAGTGACTCAAACTAAGGTGACTATATATCTCCAAGTGAGATAGGTTATGTGATATCCAGTCTCCTAAGGATCACATATGTGAGGGAAAGAATCAGTCAACATGTAATGAGCTGTTTTCATTTATCCTCCTTTACATTTCAGGGTCTCGATATTAGAAACGCTGACCACTGTTCATCACTAGTCTCGCACCTTATGTTGCCTGACAAGTGCATATGTATATATGTGTTTCTTTCTTTAACCTTTTGTTTATGTTTATAACTTACAGGTGACTGTTCTATTGCAATTTGCGGAGGTGTGAACATGTTAATTCACCCAGCATATTTTATCAAGTTAAGCAAAGCTCAGATGTTGTCTCCCACTGACAGTGCCACGCCTTCTCAGCAAATGCAGATGGTTTACACCAGAGGAGAGGGATGTGGGTTATCATCGTCAAACTCCTAAGTCAGGTATGACACTTGTATAGGCATTCCTGATTAATAACGTAACGGATCTGTTTTGACATAACCATGAGACCACCATGTCAACCCTCAATCCCTCAAAGTAAAGCAAAAGCAATTATCCCGTTAATTATATATTTCAGGCTTTAGCAAGATGGTGACAATATTTGGGGAACTATTGTCACGGGGTTGAATCAAGATGGCCACCAGGTTACGCCCATCACAGCCCCATCAGGGAAACAACAGCAGGAACTGCTGAATGACATCTACACACGGCATGGGATCGACCCGACTGAAGTAGATTATATTGAAGCTCATGGTACGTATGAGTTTTTCGTCTTTTCCCGAGGTATGGGGCCCTAGTGAATACCAAGGTTATATTTGGCCTTCAGTTATTTACGAGTTCGAAATGGCAGGATCACTGATTTGTTTCATCCATTTCCAGATACGTAGATGATGCCAATCACTTGATTGTCTAATAAGGTTATCTTTAAAGTCACATCAGCATTATTGCAGATATATAGTGACTTATCTAATAAGGACTCGATTATTTACAGACCACTGTGACATTACTAGAATATTGCTGACGGTGGCAATGGAGCCTTATCGGTTTCTCAGCGATATGTAAGTTTCAGTTTTCCGTAAATTTACCAAACAAAACGTTAAGGAGACTGGAGTGGAATCTTAAGTTTCCATATTCTTCATTTTGGTTTCCGTTTTCCTGAAATTAATTTATTTTATGTGACACTATGTTTTATTTGAATTCTGGTCTACACAAACACTGAGATCACTTAACCGAAACCTATGTAATGCAGTTTAACGTAGGTTAATATAGGTTTCTGGAGTCATGGATATATAAATATATGGAGTCAAATTTATTTCTTCTATGATCGTTTCATTGGAGTTCTCACTAATGGAAAGTGATCGTTTCCAGTTGCTTTATGGAATGGAAACCAACAATGGTAGTTTACTGTAAATTTCCATTTCTGAAAACTAACCTTGTTGGTTGCTGGCAGTTTCCAGTCGCTGAAACTAACCTTGTTGGTTGCTGGCAGTTTCCAGTCGCTGAAACTAACCTTGTTGGTTGCTGGCAATTTCCAGTCGCTGAAACTAACCTTGATTCAGCAACAGAAAACTGTCTGAAACCAACAATCAATGTTTTTAGAGCGGAAACCTACATGATTCTGGCATTACCCAGTTTCATGTAGGTTTCCGGAAATCTGGAATCCTTGTTATTTTTTCTGTGTAAACTATTAGAAAAAATATACTATTGTATCGCACAAAAATCTTGCATGCTTCGCAGCAGTGACCTTAAATATACCTTGTGTTCCAAACAAAGAAGGTTTTCTTAAATAGTACTTTCCTCCTTCATTGTGGAATTCCTAATGAACCATCAGAAAGGCTCCAATGGTTTGATCATTCTTTATTTCTTATTCAGTATTGAGATATCAGCACGTATAAACAAACATAACTGACATATTTGTTCTTGCATTAGCTTAAAGTGGCTTATGTATATGTTTTTATGACATATCTGATGTCGAAAGTTGTCAACTCAAAACATTGTCACTTCAGGTACTGGAACCAAAAGAGGTGATCCAGTAGAAGCTTCAGCTCTGGGAACCTTCTTTGAGAAATATCCACGCCAGCGCCACATCGGGTCAGTGAAGACCAACATCGGCCATCTAGAAGCAGCTGCAGGTGTTGCCGGACTCATCAAGGTCCTGTTGATGATGAAACACGACACCATTGTGCCGTCCCTACACTTTGACAAGCCCAATGAAGAAATAGACTTTGACAGATTTCAGTTTGTAGTACCAACAAAAACTTCTGACTGGAAACGTCATAAAAAGATTGCAAGTGTCAACTCATTTGGCTTTGGGGGTAGCAACAGCCATGCTGTGTTAACATCATTTACAATGGAAACACCAGTAATAAGTGACATTGCTCTACCAGTTTGTTTTTCAGGCTCCACTGAGAAAACGTTAAACACATCAATAGCAAAATTCATTGAAAGTGGTAACAGTTCTCCTTTCAGTGCTGTTGCTTACACTTCATGTATGGCAAGAGAACATTTTCCGTTAAGAAAAGCTTTCTTTGCAAACAATCATGCTAATCTGAAATCTCAAATACAAGAAGAGTTACAAAAAGAGAAACCAGCCATCTTTTTCGGAAAAAGAAAACATTGTATTTGTTTTTTGTGGCATGGGGACAGCCTGGGAAGGAATGTGCAATGATCTCATCTCCAACAATGATCAGTTTAAGGAAAGCATTTTGGAAATTGACAAATCCCTCTCCAGGTTTGTTCAGTGGTCCCTGATGAAGCGGCTCCTTGAATGTGATGATGTGAACGACCCGCTGTTCGGTCCAATAGCCATTTTTGCTTGTCAGGTGTCTCTCGCTCACCTGTGGGAAACCTGGGGGGTGAAGCCTGCAGCTGTTGTAGGTCAGTCAGTTGGGGAGGTGGCTGCAGCACATGTTGCAGGAATCCTGTCCTTGGATGAAGCTGTGAGGGTCATCTACCACAGGACTCGGATCCTGGCTGAAGCCACGGGCGGAAAGATGATGCTTGTCCGGAATGTTGAGACAGAACAAGTAAAGACAGCCTGTAGGAAAATTCAGAGTAAGATAGATGTAGCTCTTTATTACAGCCCAGTGTCGTGCACTATCAGTGGGGATGAGAGGTCCGTTCAGTTAGTCAAAGAGGATTTGAAGCATTCTTCAGATAGTAATGCACTGTTTCATGAGCTCCCTGTTACAAGTGCGTTCCACAGTCACTTTATGGACTCAGCAAGAGTTCAGCTTGATGAAATCTTATCCGATATCAAGACATCTAAGATGACAAGCAGATTTGTCTCGACAGTTGATCCTGATATGGATGAAAGTACAGTTATGTCAAAGATCTATTGGGGCATAAATGTAAGAAGTCCTGTTAGACTTTGTGATGCAATCAAAAGCGCCACACAAACATCCAAAATGAACATTTTTGTTGAAATAGGCCCACGGACTGTACTAAAATCACATCTACGGGACATCTTCAGAGATTCTACCCCCTCTGTCACATCCATTCCTTCTCTTCACCCCAAAGCGAGTTACGGTGACATTCTGCAGTCACTCCTCTTGTTGTATGACTATGGAGTTAACGTCAAATGGGACACTTTCTTTCCTGATAAGATGCAAATAACAAGCTATCCATCTTATGTCTTCAATACTAAGCCCCTGTTACTGGTGTCTGAAAGTAAACAACAGATGCTCAAGGGTCAGAAGGAAACTGAAGGAGATCACTTGTTTATCAAAGGCAACACAGAGTCAGCAAGCTTAGTCATTGACCCTCAGAGATTCAAGAGTGTTTTTGAACACAAAGTGAAAGGAGCAATCATTTTACCAGGTGCCGTCCATGCTGAGGCAGCACTTGCTTTAGCCAGAATGATTGACATGTACCACCTATGTACAATCAGTGTTTCTGTGGCCTTCAAAAGCCCAGTCAATCTTAAATCTGGAAAAGTGACAAACCTGGATATAAAACAATCTCACAGTGAAGTTGACTCCAGCATTTTGAGTACATTTGTTTTGAAGAATGGAAGGACAGTCCACGCAGAAGCAATAATAAGGCAAACACCTGCGGATGAATCTCCAGAGAGAGTTGACCTTGGGCCAATCAAAGAAAGATGTAAACACTACTTAACTGGAGAGGAAGTGTATCAACATTTGGCAGCCAATGGTTTCAACTACGGTGAAATGATGTCCGTTATTTCAGGTAGCCAAACAGCTGGAAATGAAAGCCTCACTGTACTTGAAGTTGGATCTAAGCTCCAGAGAGAAGCACGTCACACAATTCTTCACCCTGCAATACTAGATGGCATGCTACAGACGCCTGCAACTGTCACGCAAGTGATCAAAGATATGCTTCCATACTCTGTAGAACATGTGATAGTCAAGAGGAAGACAGACAGAAAGATGTTTGTGCATTTGAAAGTGTTACATGAAAGTGAATGGTATGTGTGCTATAGCTCGTCACTGCTGACAACCGAAGGGTATGTCATTGCACACGTTGGAAAATTTACATTGAAAGCCATGGGTATAGAGTCCTTTGATGTCAGGAGTGTTGCATACACAATTGAAGCAGAAGAAATACATCCTGAGCATGACACTGACAGCATAACAAACCTTGTTATGTTTAGTGATGAGATGTCTTTGTCAAAGACCCCAAACTATCCATGGACAGTTCACCATATGTCCATTTTATATGGCGATAGCTATGTTCCAGACCTTCGAGAGTCATCTGAATAGTAGTAATGTTTCAATCCAAGCCTCACTTCGTTCACAATGGAATGGAAATGGAGAAAGAATTGGAGGAGAAGATCATGCCTTTAAGATCTCTTATACTTAAAATGTCACAGCATGCCATCAAGACACCCTTTGCTCATTGTCACAATGGCAACACCATTAGACTACCAAAGCCCAGATAGAAAATCTCATGCACTTGCTTGCATTCACGAAAGTATTCGGGCATTCATCAGATGTGTTAGAAGGAATTCACAAGGCTAAATGTAAAATCACTGGATCTCAATGTTGGTAACATGGACCAATACGATGCAACTATCATAATGTCTGAAATTTCGCAAGTCTTGAATGTCAAGGGTCATGCTGAATTCGAAAGCCTTCATAGACGATTGTATGGACAGACGTTTCAAAAGGAAACCGACTCAACACCGCCATTTAGACTGGACAGGAAGATGGCCAGTCTGGACACTGTACTCTATTCAACTTCGTCCGAAGAAATATCACAGCCTTTCTTTACAATGTCAAGAAACATGCAAGAAAGGGGCAAAGATGACATTTTGCTTTCTGCACAGTGTGTAGCAGTTCACTCTAAATTCCTGTCTGAACAAGTTCTGTATCCTCTTGACAATGGAGGCTACATGGGAACCAGCAAGGGAAATCCTGTAGTTACATTTGAATCAACTGGCTTTGCACACGGAAAAAGCAGAAGAAAGATGTACATTGCCTGCTATCCACAACAGGTGAGATATGAACACTATGTCCCAATGAAATTTGCACTGAATGTCAAACACTTAGGAGGTCATTTTGAGACAGGATTTATGCTGAAGCTGTACTGTCTATGGCGAATGTGTGGTGAGTGCAGCATGAAAGATGTGGTTATACTCTACTCACACCAAACAAGGAAATATGCAGAAGCGATGGAAATCATATTGTTGTCAAAACAAACCAGGACAGTTTCTTTACTGACTCCAGAAGAAATACCAAGCCACAAAGGACATCATGTTCTCATATCAACTACTCAAATTACAACAGAACTAGCACAACAGATTGTCCTTGCATGGGACTGTCTTGAACAGCTTATATCCTTAGAGAAGCTGATATCACTCAAAGTGATAAATTTGCTAAAGTCTGTAAAGCCAAGACTGAATATAGCAATTGTCAGGACCCAAGAGTTCCTAGCCTTCTGTCAAATGGATGAACATATTCCAAAGCTATACACATGGATAAAGAAAAATAAACAGAATATCACAAAGATATGCATTTCATTCAGGGACTGCAACGACATTGCCTTGAAACACCACCATAGTGCTCCTATTAACATAGCAGAAGTCCTAGGAACATGGGAGTTCAACATGCAAGAGAACAGCAGCGTCACCACAACACAGTTAAAGGTCCCTGAGATTCTCTTGTTTGACAGGAAGGGAATGTACCTTGTTGTGGGTGGAATGACAGGACTAGGATGGGAATGTGTCTTGTATCTTGCATCCAAAGGTGCTGGGTGCATTACTATTATCAGCAGACGTAATCCAGATCCAAACAAACAAGATGAAATGAAGCATTTGTCCGAGATGTATGGATGCATTGTAACATCACAGTCAGCTGATGTTCAAGATATCAAAGAAATAGGATCAGCTTTGAAGAAGCTCGGAACCCGTTTCCCTGCCTATACTCTGAAAGGAATTTTCTTTGGAGCTGCTGTTCTGAAAGATGCACTTCTTCTGGAAATGACGAGAGACAAGTTCAAGACAGCGTCTTCTCCCAAGGTTGCTGGATCCTGGAACCTGCATATCCTGACAGAGCATCTCCCACTGGACTATTTTGTGCTGTTTTCATCAGTAACATCTCTCTTTGGAAATGCTGGACAGGCAAACTATGGTGCTGGAAATGGATTCATGGATGCCCTAGCCCATGTCAGGAGGCAAAATGGCAAGTGTGGTCAGACTGTAAACTGGGGTCCTCTGAATATGGGCATGCTGCAAGAAAGACTTTTAAAACAAATGGAATCGTATGGATACTTTCTGATACACAAGAGAAGTATACCTGACTGCCTCACACACATCCTTATGTTGAATAAGCCACAGATCATTATGTGCGGTCTCGAGTTGGTAAAATTTGGACCAAGCCTTCAAAGAGAGAACAATGTGGAACTGGAGTCTCGATTTAGATCGGTCTTGTATCCATTTAAGGCAGCAGTGTCTTCAGCTGCACCTAGTAATGTGGAAACATTTGACTTTGAGGAAATGAAGAAAATGTCAAAGGAAAATGTTCTAGCCAAACTTGTGAAGTACGTGAAGACTGTGGTTATTGATGTAGCTATGCTTGACGAATCCTCTCTAGATGTGGAGCAGGGAACCAGAGATCAGGGAGTTGACTCAATGAATTTCATGCAAATTACTGGGAAAATCATGGATGACACACACGTTCAGCTATCATCAACAAAATTGAATGTTGAAAACGCATCGGTGACTCAAATCTCACAGTACATTTATGATGACTGGATGATCAAAGGGAATGGTGATGAGAAACATGAGCAGTCTCTTCCAGTCAAAGATTCATCAGAATCTGACTCAGTTCTTCTCCCAGGAGAACAGTTTGTTTTTGACAACTACATGAGAGATCCAAACCATATATCACATTTATTGATTGCGGAAGTGGAATTGCCTGATGTTTTAGAGCCAACGTCTATCAAGAAAATGCTCCAGGAAAACGTCAGACGACACCCAATCTGCAGGACAACTTTTCATGATGTGAATGGAGAAGCAAGAAAATCAATACTGAGTGCTGGGGCTGATATTGACTACAGGATAGGTGATCTGACAAACCATCCTGACGTAACACGTCTCACAGAGGAACGGTTTTATCTTGACCGCCAAGGGCCAATACGATTTGTCTTTGTGAAAGGAAATCCCCCACATCTCATCATTATCTTTCACAGAATTGGCTTTGACCACCATGGAATTACAGTCTTCGTAAATGACTTCATGAATATAGGTCAAGCTTTCTCACAGGGACAGTCTCTGGGCGATGTACAAAGTTCTCCAGATATGTCCATTGGTCCAGAAATAAGGACAATCCTTCAACCAAGATATGAACACATTAAGGAATTTTGGAAAAAAACACTTGAAACAGTTCCATACATTTCCTTTGCAGATAAGGCCGTGTCATCCACACCACAAATGGACAGTATAAGTGTACAGAAAGTTGTATCAGCTGATCTGTTCCAGAAGTTGAAATCTTTCACTGACAAAGAACGTTTGTCACGGTTCAAGTGCCTCGTAGGACTCGTTCAACTTCTTTGGTCAACCAGAGCAAATGGTCAGAAATTTGCCATGTCAACATACGTTGATCAAAGAATCTTTAGCCCAAAGTTAACAACATCTGTAGGAAGAGGTGTCAATTTTACACCACTGTCCTGTGAAGTAACAGATGATTACAAATTGACAGTTGTTACATTTCTCAGAGAGAACAGTATCATGCTTGAAAAGTGCATAGAGAATGGAATATTTCCTTTTGGGGATCTAAAGCATTTCCTTCCAGAGGATCACTACAACAATGTAATGACGTCTTTTGTCACATTTGGGAGTGATGAGATGAGGAACATGGGTGAAGGAAACGATATGCGAGGTGACTTTGGTGCCACTGTTCGGGTGAAAGCATTGTTTGGCCCTAACACAGAACTTTATTTTGACATCCTCAACAGGAAAATGTCCAAGACAATAGCCATTGTCTTGTATGCCCGGAAAGATTGTTTCACAGAGAAACGCATTCATATGATCCTCAACGCATTTTTGGGCTTACTTGAAGACACTGTAGCAAATCCACAGATTACAGTCCGGACACTACACTCTAAACCATACATCACACAACTTCAAGACAAGAAAACTCGTTTCTGACTAAGTACTTCAATCAATATGTGACGTTGTAGCATATACTATAGAGATTGACTACATTGTTAGTTCATTGTTTTCTCTCACATCAATAATGCTGGCGTTTACTTTGTGAAAGAATAGCGATGCTGCTAATGCATGGGTATATTTTACTACGATGTTGAAAGAGAGTGGATAGAAAGTGTCAAACAGTCACAGATGGGTAAGACCCACCAAAGAAAACGGATATATACACGCTGAAAGTGTATTTACTTCATGTTCGTTAATGTCATGGAATTAATATCAAGTGAGGTAAGAAACTCACATATGTACTTTTTCCTATGTATTTTTGCTAATAGGTGTTCAGCTGGATCTGTACTATGACATGAATATTATTGTACACATTTGTATTATAGCTATGTTATGTATCACGATTGTAGCCTTGAACAAACAAACATACATGCATGCTCACGCACGCAGGCACATACATGCATGCATGCATACATACATACATACATACATACATACATACATACATACATACATACATACATACATACATACATACATACATACATACATACATACATACTAGTCTATGTCTACGTCTAGTATCTTGAATATTATACAGGACACTCTTATTTCATATTGTCTTCTCGTGTACATGATATATTTTGAACACAAAATGTTTGTATGTCCTACATCAGATGGAGATTTTTGTAAACACAAATATGTTCTTATTTTATGACTATTTTCATATACTTCTACTTACATGTGGAAGGTGGTGTCTCAAATCTAAACATATACATAACCTTCTCGTCAATGTTTATGATATCCTGACAGAGCAGAGATATGGAGTGTAATGTGTCATTTTGAAATTGGTGGTATCACAAGTGGTATCACAAGCAGACGAAAGTCACTTTGGAAGTATATTGACTTTGTGTGCATTCACTAACGTAGAAACTCAGGTATGCTATGTCAACAAAGTCTAAGATAATAACTGAATTAAACTGTGGATACTGCTCACACTTGCAATGGAGCTATACTTTATATCTTGGTTTAGTTAGTCAAACATATACATTATGGTTTCAAACATGCAACGGGTGAATGGCAAACTTGCACTTTCCGTGTCCTGAATGTTACATTGAACACTGTTATTTGTTCATTGACTTGTTGTGTTGATCTATATATTTCTTTATTGAATTACTGTTTTCTTGTTGACACAAACCATCAACCCCTGTATACGTACCCCCGTATTTGTATACAGTGTATTCTAGTACATTTGATGACGTAGATTACTTTTACAACCAGAATGTTCATATTTTATGATATTATTGATATTTTGTAACATATGTTATATTTGGGATTACACTTTCTTAGTAAAGTACAGATTCTAGTACTTAATCGCCAGCACACAAAAAGTTAGCCGATAATTTTCATGTTTGTAAGATGGGATTTATGGTGTTAGCACTCTATGTACAGTTCATGAAACTAAATGCTTCAGTCACTTTACCGACGTTGGTATATCGGCTGTAAATGATTTTATCACGTATTATTAATTATATAAATAACGTGGCAACTGTTCAAATACATTCAACATTTGAGATAGGTTCTAGACGTCCTAAATGGCATTCCATACATGTGCCTTACTCTTTATGGTGTTTAATAAAAACAACCCATGTAACTTATGGATTACTCACTATTCATGAGAGCATATTTTTCCATGCAGCCATATGGACGTCGACCTTTATCTAAGCAGTCCAAAACATATCTCGAGATTACACAATTGTCAATTATCAGTTACGTCCATATCATTATTCTTCTATCAGTCTATTTTTTGGAGGTTAGAAATTGGATGAAAGGGATTGTTATATTTTAGATTCTCTGGGTGGATTCCGTGGATAATACATTTACCCTTCAGTCGCTATGTCCTAAAAGGGAAGAAAGTCTTACCAGAATAGACAGAAATTGTTATTTATTTTGCCCAATAAAGGAATAGGTGGGAAGATATATATTTAACGATTTAAGTGACATATATTCAAAGCTTAAGGCTTGTGTGAAATCTGATTATAGAAGGTCAGATGTATTTAGCACATGTTGAGCCCATTTCTATTTATTCTCGTTAAAAATGAGTTAGTTTGGGGTTTAAGCAGAGGGCTGCTAGAGGTAAATATGTTTTTGAAACAATTGTTACTGTCAGTTAAAGATGATCTTCTTTTGATAGATTTTCTCTGTGATTGGTTTCTAAATGAAAAAGGGATGTTTCTGTCTATAGTTTGAAATGGGGATTAGAGAATGATAATAATGGCTGAGACTGAAAAGAAAACTGTGACTTATTATGAATATATAGGCATTATATTTTCTTCGTGGTTAATGGGGCTCAAAGTGTATGAAACTATGACTGTACAAGCTAAAGAGACTAGCTATAAACTCTATAGTGTATTAAGAACTTTGCTAGCTGCTATTGACCTCTGTCAAAATATTGTTTCCTAAAAACTGCAACTGCCTACTATCAAAACTCGAAAATTCTATACTACTTATTCATGTTTAGATGTCTGCAGAAATTGTGTCCATCTCAGCACACTTTACATAAATTCAATAAAGTGAGGAGGATGACTTTAAAAATAAATAGCCTGGGCGGATTTGATATGGCACTTGACTTGTTGACACTCATTTCTGAGTAATGTTTTATTACTATTTTAGACTCCATCCAATACCCAACTCAAAATGTAAAGAAACAACCTACAAAACAAGTTATTGTACTGTTTCAAAGCAGTCCTAAATATCTAGAAAAACTCCTTCATGCTAAAATACAATTATTACGGACGATTGTCACTTTCATGAATAGATTCTTTCTATCTCATTTTATTTTATGTTTATGTATCGCTATGATCATGCATTCGAATTTAACACATATTTATGAATGATAAATATACTAAATCAATCTGTTCTCATTCAAGAGTGGATATGGCATTTTACCAACATTCATCTTCTAATTAGTGAGACGATAATGGACGTAATTAACATTAATTGAATCCCTACGCTCATCCCCAGTTTGTTTGCCCTTATATATCTGGTGTCTAATACCTTTACCCGACTGCATATTCTTTGAATTCAAGTTGACCTTATCCAATATCAGGTAAACATGTATGTCCACGTTCATCCATCTAACCCTCGTTTGTTGAAATATGGATAGTGTCATAAATGTACGTGCCTACATCACACAAATGCATTTCTAATTTGTTAAAAAAGGCAATAGGAGGTACATTCTGATAAATGTTGTCTCAAAATAGTTTAGGCATAGCGTGTATGATGTTTGATAAAATAAATATGATGATTGTATTTTGCCTCTTTCTTATATTTATGTGTTGATAGATAATGCACATTAATGATATTTGTACATATGGAGTCTTTCCATACGTTCAAAATCAGTGAAGTAGCGGATGTCTGTGATGACGCAATGCACATTGCGAGCACCTGCTGCCACTGTTGAATTTTATTGTTACACGCATGAAATTTTCATCACTATTGTTTACGCCTAATGGAAACTGTTCAAAGGATCATGAAGGGCAGTTATTCTCTGGCGTTGATGTCATGTAATAATGCCATAAAAGAATAATTTAAAAATGAAAAAAAGATGTCATGTATATTTAGAAGAGCTGGGTGTAATGAGATAACGTAGACATGATGTTAAACATGTCATGTTTGAGAACCACCGACCTTCCGCTCAATGTAAAGACGCTCTATCTACTACATCACAGATAAGAAAGTGTTAACCTGGTTTAATATGTATGTACACCGACACCACAATTCCTTGACGATGTTCTCAATCTCCAGTTTCGTTTCACTTTCCATTCGTGGCTATGTGATGTTTGGTCAGTACTTCAAATAGAGTATGGGTGTAACATCACGGAAGTATTACAATAAATGGATGAACAAGTAACATATGTTATATTTGGGATTACACTTTCTTAGTACAGTACAGATTCTAGTACTTTTGTTGGGTTGAGTCCCATCCGTTGAATCCACACCGTCAGAGTCAGGCACCTTATCGCCAAATCAACCCAACAAAAGTACTAGAATCTGTACTTTACTAAGAAAGTCTAATCCCAAATAAACATTGTTACATTTGAGTGAGTGAGTGAGTGAGTTTAGTTTTACGCCGAACTCAGCAATATTCAAGTTATATGGCGACGGTCTGTAAATAATCGAGTCTGGACCAGACGATCCAGTGATCAACATCATGAGCATCGATCTTCGCGGTGAAAACTGGGATACAATGTCATGTGTCAACCAAGTCAGCGTGTCTGACCACCCGATCCCGTTAGTCACCTCTTACGACAAGCATGGGTTACTGAAGATCATTTCTAATTAACCGTATCTATATATCGTAATCCTTCCTTGCTGCTCGAACCTCTAAATGCCTCTCAAAGAAGTTGGTGTGTGACATGTACTTCACTGAGCAGATTAAAGTCACTGAAATCATATATAAATATTAACACAAAACACTATAATTAGAATACAAATGGTTGTCTGGGAGACAAATCTTTGCTTTATAGAACTAAAGGGCTAAATATTTGTTGAAAATTCAAATAGGGGCTCGTCCGTAATGATGAACTCAACCTTTTATATCCGGTTGGTGCTTTGATGTCTAAGGTGACCTCTTGTGCGGTATGGAGCGTGTAATTGATAAATTTCATTCATTTGTTCACATTTTCAAATTCCCACCCATGCTCCTCAGGGCAGTTAACTCACTTTCATCCTTACATTAAATGACGTTTTGAACACTACATTCAGATTTTTTTCTTTAATCCACTGCTAGCTGCATTTCTTTATCTCTTACTTTCACAAAGGTACATACGATGTTCATTAGCAACCACTACTGGACCTCTATTCTTCAATATCAACACAGACAGTTTATTTCAGTACCTCAGACTCAAGGCTCCTGGTACGAATGCAGATAACAAATTAACATTTGCCACGTGATTCAGATATTGAAATTCGATTACTTTTTTACTATAAGACAAAATATTATGGTAGTCAACTTCTTTTTTATTGTATACACAACGTTTCTGGGCTTTTCTTTTTCCCTTCGTCAGGTAATTGTTTACACATTTCTAAATACAAACACATTTTAAAAATATATACAGGAACAGCATGTATCAGATCTCGAGTATCAGAGTTTAAAAGATTTAGCATTATCTGGCGGTGTTTGAATCTATCCTGCACCATAGGGAGATATTTATACCTTAAATTAGAATATGTTTCACACATTAATAATACATGATATTCGCCCTCTCCTTCTAATAAATGGAGAGTTTGTACAAATAGCGTCCATGATATCACTATTTTTGGACCTGCGACATACATTTACATTAAAATTATGCAGAGAAATTCTGAATTCTTATGGAGTAAACGCGTTACATATCATTCCGTTTGAAACAATGGTTTCACCTTACTATAATTACTGAGGTAGAGCTATGAACAAATATCACAGTGTCATTGTTGACAAATATATCCTTCAAAGTTTGTTTAAATGAAAATAGAAATAATTGTGAACCCCCCACATCTTGAGATACCCATACATATGAAAAGCCGGTTACAAATACTAAATTCCTAACACCTGAAACCCAAATATTCTTGCCTTTATCATCAAGTGTCTTCAGAATTATATAACACTGATGTAGATATCTATCTGGAGACATTCTTAGTAACTTAATCCAATATTTAATTACCCTTAATTGGCTGTCTACAAAAATGGGACCAGTTTCACCAAGGATTGCCTTATTAGAAGCAAACTTACCAACACCTTAAAAATGTTTAAAATATGAAGTATGGACCTTTTCAATCACAAGATAATACTTAGCACCCCATATTTCAGAGTCATTTAGGATAACAGGCACAATATTTTCTTCAAAAATGGAACTCGCTGTGAGGAAGGATACAAATCTGTTTATTCTTGAATAAATTATAAAGGGGCATAATGCATGTGTTTGCCTGGGTAGCGAATTACTTACATGCTGCAGACCACGTCAGTATAGAAGAAACATAACACCTAAATATTTGTAATTAGAGATTACATTTAAGGAAAATGAACCAAGAAACCATTTTAATTTTTTGCAAAAACCCCA